CTGTCCCATAGCAGGCACGGGTGTCCCATGGGACTGATGAAAGACCAACGCAAAGTACCCACTTAATAGGTTGGCTTTTTCCTAGGCATCAGTTGTCCCATCTGGTTCAGCAGGTGTCCAATGTTGCCCTTGCTTTTCCTCTGGCTCCCCACATATCTGAAAAAGGGCTTCTATTGTCCTTGATGCTTGAAGCTAGTTGAGTTGTGATAATGAGACCTCTGTGCTTTTGCTCACTTGTCAGCTTTCCCCAACTTTTAGTTTAAAAGCTACTCTACAACTTTTTTAATTTTTAGGTTTCATTCTTGTTCACGTGTAGGCCATTTTATCTGTACAGGCTCCATGTACCACCTTCTCATTCACAAATTAAGACTCTGGAGTTCTGGCTATCTTTTGAGCCCTGTACATGTTGCTGGAAGCACTTCTGAGAACGCTACTGTAGAGGTCCTGGACTTTAACCTGCCTAGCAGCCTAAATTTAATTTCCTGGACCTCTGTGCTACACTTTCCTATTTCGTTGGTACCCACATTGACCACAGCCACAGGCTTCTTCTTAGCACCTGTTATCAGCCTATCTTCACATTTTGTGAGGTCTGCTACCTTTGCATCTGGCAGGCAATTCACCATACAGTCCTTCCAGATGTCACAAACCCAGCTGTCCATGTGGCTTATAATCAAAACCTCCACTACCACCACCTGCTTCTTCCTATCCTGTAGGGCTGATGTAAGAGCACACTATGGATCCTGTCTAATGAATAGTTTCCCTTCTTGCCATCTTGATGCCCTCCATCCTTGATACTGTCATCCTCCTATGGGGGCTGCTGTACTGGAGATGGGACTACTCTACAATGTCCCTGAAAGCCCTATTTGTGGAGTTCTGTACCTCCCCTAGCTTCTTTAGTTTAGCCACCCTAGTCTCAAGGGATATTTTTACATGTTGTTTGGTGAGGGGGTGGGGCTTTAATTAGAGCTGTACAGGGCTGCTCCGAGAAAAACGTGTGTGTGTGTATAGATATATAAGTATATATATTTATATGTGTGTGTGTGTGTGTGTGTGTGCATATGTATATACATATACACACACATATATGTGTGTATATGTATATACATATGCATATGTGTGTATATGTATACACACATATGCATATGTATATGCATATGTGTGTATATACATATACATATGCATATATACATATACATATATATATATGTACATATATATGTATATGTATATATGCTTTACTTTCAGACTGCATTATTTATGATGTGTAAAAATACCTCAAGTCTGCTTTTTAAGTATGGTTTAAATCCAAATAAATAAAACATACACATTATAATATTTAATTATAAACATCCCCAAATTATGGTTGAAGGTAGGGGCTCTGGCCCAATTAAATACTTAAATGAATAACTTTATGCACCTGCTACTTCTGAATAGGGATATTTTCCAGAAACTGGACCATATATTTTTCTGGATTGATTACTATGAGAAATGTAATACAGTGTGGTAAATATCTATAATTTCCCCTATGCTTGTTTAAGCTTTTTATTGGGAAGAACTGAGCTTTAAAGATGCATTTTTGTGCCACAGCTGGTAATTTTTTGTTGGTGGTCGTTGGCTAAAGGTATATAAAATAACATTTAGCATTGTTTTATAGGACTTTCCTTACCCAGTGACAAGATCGTTTCTCATTAATTTCATGGCATCATTATTCTCATAGATGAAAAGGTTAATAAGTGTATATACTTTTGCAGGAGCGGTGGTGTGATCTGGTTATGTCTATTAGTATTTTCAGTTAATATTTGATCTTGCACTAACAAGCAGGAAGCAGTGCTGATTACTTTCTGGTGCTTTAGAAAATGAACACACAGAACACATAAATGTTAAGTGTTATTCATAACATTTCAAAGGCTTTGAGCACTATCTGAGGTCTATATTTTATTTATAGAAAAGTGCAGTATTCCAACCCAGCAGCTACTTTTACATTTGCAGAATCCATTCTATTAGGATTTCACTGAAAATAAAAACATAGCCACCCAAATCAATCTTTTCATTAAAAAAATAGCAATCCTGACTATAAATTTCCACTTCAGTTAGGGCACTTCTTCCAGATAAGTTGGAGACAGAGCCATACACAGTTTTTCATTAATAGTGAGATCTTATGTAAATCCAGGGGTCCTTCAGGAAATTTCTCAGTCTTCAAGTTTGTTAAGGACCAAAGGATCATGCGTGGTGCTGAATAACCTCCCATTAGTGAATATTATGGAAGCTTTCTCTCTTTCAGGCTCAAGTCTGAGTAAGGAATTCAGGATTTAGCTCTAAGAAGCAAACTCAGTCTTCAGCATCCACCATCTTAGCTGAGCTCTGGGAAAATCAGTAAAGAGCTGGATTCCTCTCTACAATGGTGTGACATGACAATTGGCTACTCTATGCAAGGCACTGAATATTGGAGAAGGACACTGGATTCTGTCAGTTGTTGAGCTTCCTACCCTCTACCTACCCGTGTCCAGCTCCCACAATCTTACATGTGCTGCTGCTAAGGAAACTTATAAAGCTGTAACCCTTATCCTTCCTCCTTTCCTTATGCCCAGGAGGCCTTTCCTACCTACAGGTTTGGGCCAGGATTTATTCCTAACTGAGCAACAGAAAGATCAATATGGAATGTTCTCTAAATTCAGTTTGATATCCTACGGTAATTTGGCTAAATCAATATGAACATTTCTAGCTAGCATCCTTTTTTTGCTGCTGCAAAGCAGAATCTGATGTTCTTAAGCAATGAGCATTACCTAACTTTTTCACCAGTCTCTGTCATTTTGAGACAGTTTAGCAGACTAGTTATTGATTGAGAAAAGAGAAGAACAGATTGAGCTGGCCAATAACACTTGCACATATTTAATCAAAGTCAACACCTAGTAAACTTTTTTCATGGAGAAGAGGAAGGTTTTATTTATATTTTGTCCCACTTCATTGAAACTGTTAGTTTAGACTGCTCTGTCTTAGTAAAAATAAGCTGATGTTATTCATGACTTTTCAGCAGATACCTTGTGAATAAGCTTGTACAGTTTCTACTGTATGAATATAATCTCTATTACCAGCTATCTCTTCTTTTACAAAGGGTATCATTCAAGACGTGAAAGTCATCTTTATTCCTAATGGATTTATAACACAGTGTCCTAATCTGAATCGCAGTAAGTAGCAATTTATTTACTTTAGCAGTTACCAATTTAAATATTAATGATTACGGTAGTTTAAATGCGATAGTCTTAACTCTGTTCTGTATCATCATTGAATACTTTCAATACAATCAGTCCAAGGAAGCAGCAACTCTGTTTAAGCAATTGCATTTTATGTTCTGATAAGCAACACATGTTTAAACAGTTTATCAGACTACCAGACTTCATTCATTTATAGGTTTTTTTTTTCTTTATTGAGCATGCCCAACCTGCAGTGATTTCTTAAGTCTGGTTCAAGGAATCATGGATTTGCAAGAACTCTTGGCAAAAATGACTGCAAAAGTAGGTACCTAAACCTCATTGTCAATTCTTCATTATGTTCCTCATCCCTTCATGTGCTCAGACCACTCTATGGGTACTTTCACTTTTTTGCAGTTGCTTTACATTATTGTAATAGATTTTTATTCTTACGTCTCTTAGGGCTACTGTATCATAGATTTAAACAGATAGCTTCACAATTGCTAAATTACCAAAGCTAATCTAACCTCTTTTGGTTTGCAAAGAACACTTATGCTTTTAAACAAAAAAGCTTGTGCTGTAATAATGTGCATAATAGTAAAGGGCCTAACTTCTAAGGAAGATGTAGCAAGGTTTTACTTTTCAGGTTGGTGATTAAGTTCAGCCCCGAAAAAGGTAAATCCCAGAAGGATTTCTTCATTCAGGCTTCCCCAAACTGTTTTGTGAGTGCATATATATTTGCCTACGGTGGTTCCACCCAAAATCTTTTCCACCCAAAATCTTTCTTGTCACAAACCCACAATATATTGAGGTGTTCATAAAATGTCATGCATGTTTTCTTGAATTTATTTTACTGATTTGGCATGTGTGATCTCTGTAGGAGGTTTCAAGTTGTATTTAGTACATCATCCTTATGTTTATGTGCATTGTGCTATTTGTTATAAACGTATTTTTTAAGTTATAGTTGGGCTGGGATTGCATAATATGCTAATGATTTTTGGTGTTACTCCTTAAAAGTGAGTTCCCTGGGAGAGGATCAAAACCTATATGCTAAGAGAAGTAATGACTGGGTGTGTTTACATGTGAAATTAATTTGACTGAATAAACTCTGGCGCAGTGTAGACACTGACATTTTATTGTGGAGCCAATTAGACAGCTCCGCAGTAAATGTCTTATGTAGATGTGCCCACTGAGTATCCAGCCAAACAGACCTTACAAATGCAGTCTGAAGCACATGAACCAGGCCCTTTCAGACCATGATGAATTTACATTTTAGAAGGAGAGACCAGCAAGAATGACACCTAGCTAGTCAGGCTTTTCAAATAAGGGTATTTCTCACAGTGGGGAAATCAGGTGAGAGAAGTGCATTAAAGGGGCTTCTGATTGAATCTAGGGTCAGGGTGTGTCACACCTGTAGGTCCCTTGACATCTCCAGAAGATTGAAAGGAAAGGGAGGAGAGGGGAGACATGTCACTTCATGAAGAAGATTTATGTGTTTTTTTGCCAGATCTGTGACCTCTTATGACTCACCAAAATACCCAGGCAATTCCCAAGGAGCCACTGCATCCGTTTTTCTTCAGTATCTTCTTCTATGGAGTTTCTACAGTGAAGGGAGATTAATGGAAGAGTTACTATATTTCTAGTCTAAACTATTTTTGTAGGGTTGGAGTGTTGTAGGCATCATGATCCAGGAAATGTATGAAAGGCAAGGTGATTTGTGTAATATCTTTTTATTGGACCAACATTTTTAGACTAACATCTCTTCCATCTATACAGTTGGTCCAATAAAATATATCACAAAACCTCCTTGCCTCATATTAGAATTTGTCTTTTTTTTTATTTTTGTTTTTGTTTTTTTCATGAGGGAAGAATGGATGTATAGTCTTCTGGAACTGCCCTGTAACCCCATCCACCCTCCTGGACTGTTGTTGAGTCTAGGACTGGATAGGGTGTAATGCTGTTGAAGTCATTGAACCTCTGGTGTATCTGCAGGGACTATTTATGCTGAGGGAACATTCTGTTGGTAATATTTTAAACCAGCTGACTTATGATTAATTTCACCATCAGGAATTAGTTTTATCTGGAGTGCCACATATATGCTGATGAAAGAGTAACTGCGGAGTAGCCTTTAGGTGCATTTAATTATAATGTAGTTAATGAACCTAGTATTCACCTAACGGTAACCCCATCTATGTAAAAGTAGTATGTGCATGATATTTTTTATCATGTAAAATGATTTTCAATGCCTGCCTCTAGGAATTTGTCCTTCTTAAAAGAAAAGGATTTATTTTTAAGCATGTCTGCATTATACTGACACTCTACTTAATCAGCTGACATGCTTTGTACAGGCTTGCTCAGGGAAGGAGAAATGTTAAGCTTTTAGATCACTTTACTGCTGGAACTGTGAAACAGAGGTAATTATTTTGAGCCCTGCTGGTGGTATGAGAATTATGTATTATGCAAACTAACGTGTTTTCTCTACTGTTAATTATATTGTTGCTTGCTAATACACTTTTAGGGGCCAAATGACATGCTGTTCATATTCTAAAGATTTATGTGCTCCCATTCCAAAGTGCTGGGATGCCTTTTTGTTGCTGGTCCCTTTTCCCGTGATGATACTTTTGTGCCCTCCATAGTAATGTGTTTAACTAACTCAGTGAAACACTTATTTTAGTGACACTGTTGTCCAGGAAAAAAAAGAAAGCCATACAGAGCAGTAGGAGAAGTTTTTAATTGTGAGACAAATGCAAATTAAAGATGAGAGAACTTGAAAAAGGGCGTTTTAATGGTTGTTTTTGACATTACAGCCCCAGGGGCAAATGGCCCTAACTGATATTTGTATAGATATAAGTACGCAACATGGTATTAATGTATGTTAGGGCCCAGCATTGGCTTAGAACCACTGCACAGCTGCCCATGGAGATTTCTTCTGCCAGGGCAGGTGGTTAGAGAACTCTTTGCTAAAATACATGAGCAGTGACCCTTAACTCCTGGCACTATTTCAGCAGAAGCAGAATAGGAACTTGGCAGTGTGTAATAATTGTGCCCCATGGTTCAACGTCCAGCTGTTGCTTTTAGGCTTTACTGTATCTGAGACTTAAATTACCCCTGGATTTGATTACAGTTGAATTACAGGCTCGTATACATCAGTGAAGGTTGTTTGCAGTGCAAATGTGAATGTATATTCCTGGAGAATACAAAATATGAAAAGCAAGATGCTATGGCCTAAGTCTAACTCAACCTTTAATTGCTATTTAGGCACTACAAGGCTCTACTAGGGCTACTTCCCCAGGAGTAAAATACAGGTAGTCAGGCTTAGCTATCGAAATTCCCTATATAGATCATTAGTGCCTTCCAATGATCATAAGAAGTGTCAAGGTGTTGAACAAGAAGACACCTGCAGCTAGATGATAAGGAACGTGTGTGTCTGAATTTCTGCCCCTCTCCAAGCCTTCGGCATTGGACTCAGAGCTGCAAGGGAGGCATCTTTGTGAACTCTTGGGCTGACAAATGAGAAAATGCCTACCTAACCAATGGCAGCATTGAGTTCAGAAGAGCATCCATCACTGAATCTTGAATGTGCATGATGGTGGTGATGACATGGCTCACTTCATATACTTTGGCCTACAGGCTCTGGTCCCTGCTCCTAGTGTGTTCCTGTTTTTAATCCAGTGATTATCTAATGTAAAATGCTTAAACAGTCCTGGTAGCAGAGACTGGAACCTGGAACTCCCTTTTCCTAGGGAACTGTTAGAACCAGTGAGCCATGATGTGTTTCCTCCAGCTTGCTTTTCTTCTGGCCCCCTGAATTTTGAATTTTTTTTTGATCCAGTAGCCCAGTTTTAACAGCAAGGGTGACAGGGCCCTGTCTACTAATAGCTTGATGTTTAGGGCACTGTCCTGGGAAGTGGGGGATGAGGGGTGTAACAATTTGAATGCATGCATGCTGTCATCATCAGTATTAGATAGACAATCAGGGACTTGGACAGACTTAGGCATTTTTCACACTAACTTGGATTGCAACAGAGTTAAGGCAGAATTTAGGCAAATATATGACCTATGTGGATTGCTGTTGAGTGTGTCCAGTAGTCCAAGCTGTTGGATTTAAGGATGTTTTAAGGACAAAATTGAGGTCTTTTGTGACTCTAGGTGCTTATTTGGTTTTGAAGCTGCTGAAATTGGTTTGGGTCCATTTTTGTGACTTAAATTCTGCCTAAGCCACCAGTTCATGCACCTACAGGGTTCATTTGGCCACAGATACTAGATGCTATTAGCTTTTCCTTCCTTGCATTTCTTAGGGATATGGAGTCAATGTAATAACTTCTCAGTGCCATGTTCATATACATCATTCTTATCCTTCCCCAACAAAGCATACCTAATGAAAATGAAGATCTCCAGGGAATAATACCCCCTGCCACAAGCAAACTTCCTGACAGGACCCTAAAGGTATAACTTCTAAAGGTGCATAAGTGATAGCTTTTCTGAGCCTTAGTTGGTTTTTCATGGTGGGAAGGGTATCTGAACTTTTCCCATCACCCAGAAGTCTTCTAGATTCCTTTGTTTCATCTCTTTAATCTTGTTACCCCGAAAAGAATCAAATTGTTACAAAACTAATTAAAATATAAATTACCCTGGCACAGTAGGGGCAGGTCATTTTTCATCAGGCTCAACTGATGTATTGGATATGGAAAGTTAGGTTTTGATGACAACTTCTTAAATATAACAAGTCGTATCCTCAGACAGCTTTAGTTGCTGTCATGGGTCTGAGAACTGGGGACATTTCTTTGAAAATGGATTGCATTTGCTTTCCAATAAACTTTGGAGATCACACATTAATAATCCAAGGTGTTCATTTTA